AAAAAAAAAAAAACAGTCCAGAGATTATATTAGCAGTGCACTGTGTTTTATATAGAATATTCAAAAGACGTGAATGAGGGGTTAATAGAATCCTAGGAGAGCTAATTACAAAGGACTTTATTTTTTTTGAAGAACCGTCACACCCTGTTGTTTCATTTTATAGAACTGCATTCATCTACCTCAGGCTAAATATGCTTATCAGGAATATTTCACAATCTTAAACAGCGAGAAAGGTAATGAGTGTTACAAAAGAAAGTTGAAGGCAGAGATATTGTCCCAGTACCCACTAAGGTGATTGAATGGATGAAGGCTTAATGCTGATTGTTTGGAAGCTAGATAAAATGCTGGAAAAAGCTTGGTAGTCTAATAGAAGCAAAATGAAAGGGATAAGCCTAGTTAGATGAAACAAGTTAATGAAATGATGTGAATGAGGAGAGAGGGCCAGGTGTCACTGATTGTGCTATTTGCCTACTAAATATGTTGGGGAAAATTTCTATGGTGAGTACTTAGAAATAATTTGCACAGTGAGTTCCAAAATATTCACAATTTGATATTGCATTTCTATTTTTTCTGTCCTTTAGTTCTAGTGGATTAGAAGACATCTTTCTCCCTGTCTGGTATGTGTCCAAATGAGTGTGAAATAATTGGCAAAATGAACATTTTTTTCAGGACACTGAACACAAATACTAATGGGTAGGAAGACTTGGCAACCCCATCTCCGAGGTCATTTTGGAAAATCTGCTCTTAAAACAGATCCAAGACCAGATTTAGAAGGTTGTCCATCGTCCTTTCTTGAAAGAATTGTATTGGTTTAAAAGATGGCATGCAAATAGGGGCAGCCTGGATGGCATGGTTCTAGCACACAGAGGGAATAAAACTATCTGATTTTAATACTTCCAGCTCTTTATTGCCAATATTCTTGGGTGATAAAACTGGGGAAGCAAATGGAGGAAGAAGTGATTGTGTTGGAAGGGAAGAGGAAAGTTCTTGTGTGAATGCTTAATGTTAAAGCTGGGGCTCGTACTCAGAAGTCTAAGAATGATTCAAGTACTCTATTGTGTAGGGCATCACTCAGAGAGCTTGTCCTGTTAATTTAAAGACAGAGTTTTCTTATCCAATCTCTGCTGAGGGGCAAAAGAATTTCTTAACTCCTTACACTAGAACTAGAGAACGGGATAGTTTTATCAAAAGACTGGTTACTAATTTGGAAATCAATATGTCAAATCAGGACATTTCATTAAATAGAAACATCCCAGGCTACTAAGGCAAATGTTGACCTTAGCTGAATTTCATTGACAGGTTGGCCTGTCGCTGCCACCAGGTTTCTTCTCCATTATTTGTGCCTGCCTACTCTTGCTAAATCAGAATATAAACCTGCTCATGAAAATCAAGAGTCACTGTGTGTTCATCATTGTCATCTCCCACACTCTTCCTCACACTCTAACCTAGACATACCAGGGAATTAGGGATTGGAAATTTGGCACACCATTTTTGACCTGGGTCCTAATACAATATTTTAAAACATAGAAGCAAAGGTTTACATAGGAAGTTGAGGTCCATGTATTAGTTATCAAAGAAGAGTGATAGAAAGGGTGGATTTGTACTTTCAGGGTTAGGGAGATGAGATTTTCTTTACATTTGATTGCCCTAAATGTGTGATCTCATCAAAAAATTGCTACCAAGCACCTGTAAAATAAAAACTTGTTTGTGAGAATGTGTAAAATCAAATGGTTTTATTATTTAGAAATTGATCTCACCAAAACACAGAAGCTCAATGACTTTAAGAAAATTAGAATTTGACTTATTCCATAGTCCAACCTGCCTGGTACACTATAAATGCATTTTCTTTGACAGGTTTATTCCTTCAGCTGTTTTGAGTTTAATTGGGGTCCTCTGTATAAACCACGGACAGGTTTGGGAAATGTGGCTGTTATTTATAGAACACCACAAGCCTACACTGTACTTTCAATAGAGCTTAAATTGGACGGAATCTCTCATGCTATCAGCTCTGGGTTCTTTTCAGAGGAAGGGGAAAATCTCACTGCATTTTTTTGTTGTTTTTTTGCCTCTCTGTGTTCATAATATTAGAAAATGAAAAGAAGCTCTAAAATGCATTTAGATTTAATGAAAGAAGTGGGAGAGAAAGAAAAGAAACAAGGTAGAATAGTGGATTTTTGAGCTTTTTGTTTTCTTAAGAAAATGGCAGTACAACTAAATTACACAGAACAAAATTGTTACAACAGGCTCCTGTGTGAGATGTTCACAGGGAAAACTGGAGATTAGAGAACAGCCAGACGCTCAGCTGTGAGAGTGCTTCCTTTTGGAGAGTCTGGAAGGCCAAGGGAAAAAAACGAGTTGTAGGGTGATGTGAGATATGTTTGCGGGGGTGGGGGATGAGAGGTCTATGAAGAATAAGGAGGCAGCTTTAGGCTGTGGGAATGTCAGGAAAATAGACACAGTGGAGTCACAAGTGGGTGAAGAGAAAAAGAGAAGCGTGAAGAGGAAAGCAGCAAGGGAAGAGGTGGGCAAGGAAGAGGTGGTAATGATAAAGCTTACCCACAGAGTACATTTGTGAATATAAAGGCATTTTAATCCTCAGTACAAAGGAACATTATCTGCCAGGTCAGAGACAAGATAGCATGTGCTTTACACACACAAATAGACCTTGGATCACGGCAGGTCTCTAATTAGAAGGTTCTAGTTGGATATCTCCACGTATACCTGGATGGGACTGTCAGGCAGGCCAGAAAGGGAATAGAAAGGGACTGAAGACCACCAGGCCTGAAACCTCAGCTCTGTTATGGTAAAGAGTTTCCTTGATCTCCATTGAAAAACTTCTTAGAGTTCTCTAAATATTGCTCTATTTTCCAAGAGTATCTGGGAAATACTATAACAAAAGCACTGTAACTAATCCATCTGATATGAGGCTCTAGCGAAACCTCAACAAATGTCCATTTGGGAGAGAATGAAGATTAAAAATTAAGCTCAGGATCTTAATTAAATATTATGTTAATTTTGTGAATTCTAGGTTATAAATATGAAGCCACTGGACTTGTAATGATAACTGACTTGAGGAAACAGTGTACTTTGCTTTCTATGAAGCAGGATGATTATAATACCCCTCTTTCATCCTTACCTTCCCCTACTCCCAAATAGGCATGCTTTTATAGTGAGGAGACTTCTGGCATTCCGCACAGCCTTTTATGTGAGCAGATGAACTTTTGGAGGAGTGAATCGCATAAGCTTGACCCATATATTATCAGTAACAATTGGACCTGGAGTATATTACAATTATCTGTTCACTTTCTTTTCCTCTTCCCACCCTCCCTCGATCCTTTCCCCAGACCTACAGAATGAGACTCTCTAGTGTTGCATCCCACGGATTTGGATTTTGTAAACACTCCCATAATCCTGATACAGTCAGGCTAGCACTGGTTTTGTGAACATCTTTAGAGGCTTCTAATGTCCCCAGAGGTTTCAAAACAGGACCTACCTTCTATGTAGGTGGCTGAGTAATCATAGGTGATTTGAAGGGCAGGGGAAGAGCATTCCTTCCTCCAAATATCTCCCATATATTTTGGTTGATTTTTGAAATACATTTGGCAGTGGACAAGACCTTTCAATTCACATCAAGTAGAAAAGTTTCTTTTTTTTTTTTTTAGTATGTGTAAGGTGTAAATGATTCATACAAGATAATTTACTAAAAACAGGTGACTAGGGAGAGAGTAAGAAGGCATCTGATGTACAATGATGGAGAAAGGGACCATCATCTCCCAGGGGGAATGGGCAGATTTTGGTACATTCTTCACAGTCCCAGTAAGGTTTGAGCTTACTCAAAACCCAACAGTTTATCTATTTTTAAATAGAATAGGGATGTTAGAATAAGCCTATGAGACACACACTTGGAAAAGTTAACGATACAGACACTTGGCAGTTTCATGAGATAAGTCCCACAATTTTACAAGACCTTAACAGAAAGCCAAGAAAGCAAAATTCTTAAGATGTCCCTCTCCAAAATGACTATCTTGGATGTGGCACAAAATGCCCAGCATGCAACCACAAGATGAATAAAAGATGAATTCGTTGTAAAAGGCTTAGAGATGGATAGATGACATTTACATAATGATGTAAATTTGTACATAATGATGGAGAGTAGTTCATTTTTTTGAAAGCTGATAATGCCAACACTTATGAAAGAAGTAGTTTCATGTTAATTTTGAGTTCTTCAAATTTGGACAGTTTTTTTCAAAAGAAAACGACACATTTTCTACTCTTAGAAAGATCACAGAATTAGACAGCAATCACATTGCTTTTTCCCTGGGATCTGGGTGCTTTTCATCATTGCCAAACCCTAAAATTGAAAATCCCATAAAAATGAATTTTAATATCTTACTGCAAATTGCTAAACCATAGATGAATTCCAATTAGCCTTCTTTTTCTACTTTATAATTAGGAAATAGAGCTGTGGATGGGGGAAAGGGGGATATAATTCTGGGCAGTGGCCAGGAAAAAAAGTTATATTGAGCACAGATTTACATAGTTTTACCATCTGTCTTGGATGACTTAGATCTAGCCTTGCTTCAAGAGGGGGGACTGTGTCAGATAACTCTTAAAAGTTGTTTCCAGAGTTTTGGTTCTCTCTTAATCGGATACTTTACACAATTAAACATTGAAAAAAATGGAATAAGGAAGACTATGGGAGGACTGGATAGGTGTCCAAATATGCAAAATGTTGGCAAGTGGAAGAGGAAATGGTCTTGCCCTAGCTTTAGAGGACTGAGCTACGATGAAAAGTTTTAAGTTACATGGAAGAGTAGCACTACTCAATACAAGTAAGAATGAGCTCACAGCTAGCACTGTCCTCAGTTAAAATAGGTTGTTGCACTGATATTCAGCACTATTTTCCTAGAATTTTATAAGCAGAGTCTGATGATTGTCTGTCAGTGTTGTTGTAGAAAACTGCAGCGGGTGGGAGACTTTCAGCTTATTTCTGGACTAAAGTTGGAAGGAAAGGCAAGGGAATGTGGTGTTGGCTTAGGCTGGGTTGTACCAGGGGTAGACTCTCAGGCAAGCATTTAAATGCAAGCCGTTTATTGGGGAGGTGATCCCAGGAAGTATCAGTAGGAGGGTGGGGATTGGAGTCTTGCTGGGGACCTCTGGAACACACTTTAGAATTGTCTTACCCAAAGGGTAAGGAAGCAGGGTGTATCTCTCCTCCATTCTCATCCCTCCTGGCTGGAGACTGCTCTCTGGGACATTAAATCTCCAGCAGTCCTGGTCTGCCCTGTGCAGGTGGAGAATCATGAGTCCTTGCAGTAGAATGCTGTTGGCATACATGGAGTAGTTGACAAGTGCCAAACGGATATGACTGGGGCGTAACAGCATCTGCTATAGTCATAGAGCACTGACTATGGAGTTAGGCTGATCTGAATTTGGTGCTTACCTCTCCTTCTTATTAGCTCTATGACTTTAGACAACTTATGTAGCCTCTATGGGTCTGTTCCTTATCTACAAGTCAGAGATGTCATAGACACCTCACAGGGTGATTGTTGAAATCAAATAAAATAAAAAACTTAAAGCTCCTAACACATAGAAGGAAATAAAAAAGATAGCTTTTGTTATTTAAGAATAAATCTTGCTTCTCAGATCTAAAATGAGCCCAATCCAAAAATAGTAAGACATTAAAATCTTAAATGCTGACAAATGACTTTACAGGTAATACAAATGCTAAGAAAAAAAAATTTAAACTACCATAGAATTTAGTGAGAAATTACTTTTCTTTCTACCTATAGCAACTAACAAGTATTTAACATTTCTTGACTATCAAGTAAATGTTTGGCACTACTAAATTCACAATGAACTTAAGTGCCTATTTATTCTTCAAGACTTGGCTTAAACAGTATTTTCTTTAGGCCACCACCTTGTAGCTGTGAAGGATAAGATTATTTTACAGCTAGACTGGAACAGTGCTATTCTTATGTTCAGGATTGCCTGGATGTCTGACACTGACTCTTAGCCAAGATAAGGGCAGTGGGCTAACTAATGATTTATAATGTGCTGTTTAAAATTTGAAACTCCTCTGGCAGCACCTAGGGCCAGTTTATTTCATTTAATTTTTTTCTTCCAGTTTTATTGAGATATAATTGACACATAACATTCTACAGTCATGCACTGCATAATGACATACTGCATATACGATGGTGATCCCGTGAGATTAATACCGTATAGCCTAAGTGTGTAGTTGTCTATACCATCTAGGTTTGTTTAAGTATACTCTATGATGTTGCTACAACGATGAAATCGCCTAACGATGCATTTCTCAGAACATATCCCTGTTGTTAGGTGACGCATGACTGCATAAGTTTAAGGTGATTTGACATGATGATTTGATAGATGCATATATTGTGAAATGATTACTGCAATAAGTTTAGTTAACATCCATCACCTCATATAGTTAGAAAATTTTTTTTCTTGTGGTAAGAATTTTTAAGATCTACTCTCAGCAGCTTTCCAATATGCAATACAGTATGGATAACTATAGTCCCTATGCTCTATGTTACACCCCCAGAACTTATTTATCTTATAACTGGAAGTTTGTATGTTTTGATCACCTTCATCCATTTCCCAACCCTGCACCCTCCTGCCTCTGGCAACTACCAATCGTTCTTTGTTTCTATGAGTTCAATTTTATTAGATTCTACATGTAAATGAGATCATACAGTATTTGTCTTTCTCTGTCTGACTTGTTTCACTTAGCATAAGGCCCTTAAGGTCCATCCATGTTGTTGCAAATGGCAAGATTTCCTTCTTTTTTATGACTGAGTAATATTCCATTGTATATATGTGTGTATATATATATATATACACACACATATATATGTATATATGTAATTGTGGTATATATATGTATATATACATATATACGTACATATATATATATACCACAATTTCATATATGTATATATGTAATTGTGGTATATATATGTATATATACATATATAGGTACATATATATACCACAATTTCTTTATCCATTCATCCATCCATGAACATTTAGGTTGTTTCTTTGTCTTGGCTATTGTAAATAATTCTGCAATGAACATGGGGGTGCATATATCTTTTCAAGTTTGTGTTTTCATTTTCTTCAGATAAATGTCCAAAAGTGGAATTGCTGGATCACATGGTAATTCTATTTTTAATTTTTTAAGGAAGCTCCATACCACTTTCCATAGTGGCTGCACCGATTTACAATCCCACCAACAGTGTGCAGAGTTCCCTTTTCTCCACATCCTTGCCAATATTTGTTATCCCTTGTCTTTTTGATAATGGATATTCTAACAGACGTGAGGTGATATCTCACTGTGGTTTTGATTTGCATTTCCTGATGATTAGTGATGTTAACCACCTTTCCATGTACCTGTTGGCCATCTGTATGTCTCCTTTGGAAAAATGTATGTTTGAGTTCTTTGCCCATTTTTAAATGGGATTATTTGATTTTTTGCTATTGGGTTATATGAGTTCCTTATATATTTTGGATATTAACCCTTTATCAGATGTGTGGTTTGCAAATATTTTCTCCCATTCAGTAGGTTGCCTTTTCATTTTGTGAATTATTTCCTTTGTTGTGCAGAAGCTTTTTAGTTTCATGTAGTCCCACTTGTTTATTTTTGATTTTGTTGCTTGTGCGTTAGGTGTCATATCTAAGAAATTATTGCCTAGGGATAGGGATTTTTACCTATGTTTTCTTCTACGAGTTTTATGCTTTCTGGTCTTACATTTGTCTTTAATCCATTTTAAGTTAATTTTTGTGAGTGGTATAAGATAGGGATCTAGTTTCGTTCTTTTGCACGTGAATATCCAATTTTCCCTGCACCATTTATTGAAGAGACTGTCTTTTCTCCATTGAGTATTCTTGGCTCCCTTGTCAAATATTAGTTGACTGTATATGCGAATCTATAATAGTATATATAGATATAGATATAGATATATATGTATACACACACATACATATACTATATATGTATATATATATACTATAGTATATAATAGTACTATACTAATTTGATTACTTTAGCTTTGTAATATAGTTTGAAATCAGGAACTATGATGCCTCCAGTTTTGTTCTTCTTTCCCAGGATTGCTTTGGCTATTTGGATCTTTTATGGTTCCAAACAAATTTTAGGATTGTCTGTTCTATTTCTGGAAAAAATGCATTAGAATCTTGATAGTGATTGCATTGAATCTATAGATGGCTTTGGGTAGTATGGACTTTTTAACAATATTAATTCTTCAAATCCATGAACATAGGATATCATTCCATTTATTTGTGCCTTCTTCAATGTCATAGAGTTTTCACTGTGGAGATCTTTCACCAAGTTGGTTAGATTTATTCCTAAGTATTTTATTATTTTTTGATGCTATTGTAAATGGTATTTTTAAAATTTCTTTTTCAGATAATTCATTGTCAGTGTGTAGAAACACTACTGATTTTTGTATGTTGATTTTGTATCCTGCAACTTTACTGAATTTATTGATTAGATCTAAGAGTGTTTTAGTAGAGTCTTTAGGATTTTCTGTATATAAAATCATGTCATCTGCAAATAGAGACAATTTTACTTCTTCTTTTCTCATTCTGATGCCTTTTATTTCTTTTTCTTGCCTGAGTGCTCTGGCTAGGACTTCCAGTACTATGTTGAGTAAGAGTGGTGAGAGTGGGCACATTTGTCTTTTTTCTGATCTAGAGCTGGTTTATTGATGCCTTGCACCTGGTGTAACCAGTTAGACAGTCTGGTTTGCTTATGTGACCAGAGGCTCATAGAAAAATCTGCTGGAAACTTTTAGGGAGCTCTCCCTAAACAAAGTTTCATTGCACAAATCTTTCGCATCCTTGAGTGAATTAGAAGGACTTTAAGGAGCTGCACTTGGAAAGCTCTTGGGAGTCTCAGTAGTACAGTAGTCCCCCCTTATCCATGGTTTTCTTTTCTGGGGTTTCAGTTACTCATGGTCAACTGTGGTCTGAAAATATTAAAAAAAAATTCCAGAAATAAGCAATTCATAAGTTTTAAATTGCACGCTATTCTGAGTAGCATGATGAAATCACATGCCATCTCGCTCCATCCCACCCAGGATGTGAATCATCTCTTTGTCCAGTGTATCCACACTGTATATGCTACCCGCCCATTAGTCACTTAGTAGCCAGCTTGGTTGTCAGGTCAACTGATCATGATACCACAGTGCTTGTGTTTAAGTAACCTTTATTTTACTTAATAATGGTTCCAAAGTGCAAGAGTAGTGCTGGCAATTAGGGTATGCCAAAGAAAAGCCGTAAAGTGCTTCCTTTAAGTGAAAAGGTGAAAGTTTTTGACTTAATAAGGAAAGAAAAAAACATCATAAGCTGAGGTTGCTAAGATTTATGGTAACTTTTACTATATTGTTATAATTGTTCTATTTTATTATTATTGTTAATCTCTTACTGTGCCTAATTTATACATTAAACTTTATCATAAGTATGTATGTATAGGAAAAAAACATAGTAAAAAATAAGGTTCAGTACTATCTGTGGTTTCAGGCATCCATTGAGGGTCTTGGAACATATTCCCCGTGGATAAGGGGGCACTACTGTACGTTCAGTTATCTGGTTCTGTTGTAGTCCTCGAGGGAGTACTAATCCCACAGCTTATATTTGACTGTCTACTTATATGTCTTCCCCTCTAGATGTGCGAGTTTTTGAGAGCAAGAACCCTGTGTGCATATTGTTTACTATTGTATCCTTCGTACTGAAAACAATGCATGGAACACCATGAATGGGCAAAAATATTTGTTGGGTAAAATGAGTGAATGAAAATGTGATAAGAAGTAGTAGTTGATATCATGGAAAAGGCTAGATGTCTATTAATTTAAATCCACATTCATTTAATGCGTTTTATGCACAAAATATTGTGGTAATTGTCATGGGGACTACAAAGATGGAAAAAAATAGTTGTTTCTTTTTCAAATATTCTATGTAAATTTTAATAATAAGAATGGTTTATTTATAGTCTGTACTTGATAATTCCAGTATAAAGTCATTATGGGTCCATTTCTGTTGTTTATTGATTCTGCTGGTTTTTGCTCACGTGTTCTTTGTCCCTTGAGTATTTACTGGTCATTGTACCTGAAAATTATCTGTAAGAATAACTTAAGTCGTAGGATGAAAGTACCTTCCTTCAGAAAGAACTTTGCATTTGTTTTTACCAGGTGCCTGGAGTTACTACCAGTCTAAGTTCACCTTAATCCAAATTCAATTTTTGAGTGTTCGGGGCCACAAAAGTGACATGATTCCAAGCTAAAAGACCACTTACCCCTTTTCTGAGAGTGTAGCCCTTTGGGGTCATAGCTTTTTGTGGAGAGTCTCCTAATAGACTTCCCATCTTCTGTGGGCCTTGGACTTTGATCTCTATGCCCCTAATCCTATGAGACTGTCAGGATAAACATTTGTATTTTAGGGAAATATCCAATGCCTTCAGGGTAAAAGTGGCTTCCTTGTGCACTTAACGGTCTGGATTCCTGATTTCTTTTTTTTTTGTTGTCAGCTCTTTTTGCTTTCTAAGAGATTAAAAAAAAAAAAACCTTCACTCAATATTTTTAGTTGTTTTTCTCTGGAGGGTTGGTCAGAATAATTGAGCCTCCCATTACCGGAAATTGGAAATCTCTATCCAGAAAACTATGTGGTTATCAAAGACATTGCAAATAATTGCTTGTAGGAGGAAGAGGTGAACCCAAATAACTATAATATAGGGCCAGCTAATCTTTCTACCATTATCTCCTACAATTTTCTGCCTCTTTTACCTCACTTAAGTCACATGAACCTCTTATTCTTCCTCAAACAAACCAGGCTTAGTACTGCCTCAGGGCCTTTGGACTTGCTGTTTCCTCTGTCTAGAACCCCTCTTCTCCCAGATCTTTGTATAACTTATGCCTGCTTATAAATGCCAAGTCCTGTTGTTGCTCCTCCTTCCTGTCACTAGAAGAAACTTATCTTTACCATTTCACACTTATTAGCATCTCTACTACTGAGTGGAAAGAGGAAAATGAAAGGAGATAAATTTCAAATTAATTGTTTTTATTGAAGTTAATAGGGCTGATGAGAAGAAGTGTAGTAGAGGAAATTAAAACTAACCTTTGAAAATGAACTTTTTAGATTTTCTATAATGGAGTAAAAACCAAGAGGCCTGGAATTTGGCCCTGGTGCTACCACTGTTCCTCAGGGGGGACTCAGTTTCCTCTTTTGCAAAATAAGTGGGTTTCTACGTACATTTTCAGCTCTAAAATTACTTGATTAAACAATTCATATCATTTTTTATTGCTACAGGCTGGATAACATCAAATGTTTTCAGGGGTTTCACAATCTTAAAATCCATGTCCATGAAAGCTTCTCTCAGGTATCTATGTCTTAGGATTATATAACAATCCTGAGATGTTGTGTTCATAGTCTTCAGGGCTTTTGGAACATTCTAAGTCAGAGATTTTTAAAGAGGAGTGCATATCTGAATCACCTAAGGACTTTTTTCAAAATGTACATGCTTGGGCCCTGTCCATTCTAGAACTAGAATGAAATTCTCCGTATGTGTCAGGTTAGGTTCTCCAGAAGCAAATGCTCAAATGGAG